AAGAGAAACTCCCCATTTTCATCTCTAGCAGCTTGAGAAAAATGGGTTCTGGGCTTCAGAACTTATAGAAAAGCATTTGGGAAAAAGCTCAATGGAGAGTGAGGGTGGGCTGCTGGGGAAGGAGAGATGGAAGAGACTGGGCTTAGGAAGAAGGGGAATCACTACAACATGACTCTTGGCAGAAAATGAACTTCGAACTTTAGTGAAAAATCAGTGTCTGATATTGTTTTAAGTTGTTCCGTTGGTTTTTGGTTTTTTTGTTTTTTGTACTTAAACCACTTTTTAATTTCTACAAGTCTTTGGTAAACTGTTGCACATACAGATTTTTGTTCATGGTGACTTGTGATATGATGGAAAAGAACTGTGTTTAAACGTGTGGCAAAGGGATATAGAGAGAACAAAGAAGCATCCAGAAGCAGTGACGAGACAGCACACAGTGACCAAGACTTGAGCCAGGAGCTAAGCACATCGAATAATGACAGTAAATTATCAGCAGAGCTGTAAGCCCTTCTTCTCAGAAATATTTAGAAAAACTGGGGAATGCACTCCATTGAGGAAGTGTAATGTAAGTAACTAGAGTCCTTTCTTTGGTGCCTCACAGGTGGAGACAACACCAGGTGAAGTTGTCACACAAAGGAAACTTTGTTTACAGCAACTACAGTAGATCACTGTGACTAACTTCCAAAGCCATGATTCCCTGAGTGGCATTAAGTGGGTTTCTTTTATTTAGGGTTAGGATGACTATCCAGAAATGGGAGCTTTGACATCACAAGTAAAGGTGGGTATAACACTGCACAGGCACACTTAGAAAACATGCCGATACACGCATCTTAGGCTAAATAAAGCCTGTACTCCTCCATGGGTGGAGACTTTAACATAATGAAGCAGAGGTAACTGTCGGACAAGGAGAAGGAGCTATGGGCATGCTCGCAGAGCAGTTATAATCTAGATGATGTCTGGAGCTCCTGGTCTCAGGTAAGGCATGCTGGGCCTGGCTCACTTTTAAAATGGCACTGGGAGTTTTATCACTAATTTATTGTCTCTGTTATAGTTAGGCCCTGCCCTGGCCTCTTAGAGATGTTAGTTTTTGCATTTCCTTAAAATTTCCTTAAATCATTAAGATTTCCTTAAAATCATTGACTACTGAGGTTTCTGCTTTTATTTGTAATTCTGACACCTTCTAGGGAGTTCCGCAAGTATGTTAGGGCAAGGAGAGCCAGTAAGATCATGGAAAATAGCTGGGGGCCTAAAAATGACTTCCTTTTCTGAGGACCCCTACCTCTTTCTACTTACAGAAGGTTCAGGTTATTTCATTTGCATATTGCTAGAAAGGGTGATTCAGGAAGACTGGAGAACTAGAGACTTACACTGGGTAATTACGTATGCAGAATCGCTACTCAATTTTCAGTTTCTCACCTACTTCCAGTTCCTATTTCAGATTTCACATGTAATGAAAAAATATAAATTTATTTATGGGCTCTAACTCGGTTTTTAATTATTATTTTTATTTGAGAGAGAGAGAGAGAGAGAGAACACACATGCAAAGTGGTAAGGGAGCGAGAGGAGAGAGAGAGACAATACTAGTCGAGCCCAATACTAGTCAAGCTCCAGGCTCAGTGCAGAGCCCCACCTGGGTCTCCATCCTACGAACTTGGGATCTTGACCTGAGGCAAAATCAAGAGTCAGATGCTCAACCAAGTGAACCACCGAGGCACCCCTCCAACTAGATCTTTTAAAACATTTTGAGTCAGAGGATACTAGATGTGGAAATAATAAGTTCTCTTACTATAGAAGCTCCCTTAAGACTTACACTTTAAATTTTTAATTTGATTTTTTTTATTCATTCTTACCTCAAATTTATTGCATTATATTAAAGGATTACTTATATGGTTAAGGCATTTGTATTTTTAAAAATGAAGACCCGGGGTGCCTGGGTGGCGCAGTCGGTTAAGCGTCCGACTTCAGCCAGGTCACGATCTCCCGGTCCGTGAGTTCGAGCCCCGCGTCAGGCTCTGGGCTGGTGGCTCGGAGCCTGGAGCCTGTTTCCGATTCTATGTCTCCCTCTCTCTCTGCCCCTCCCCCGTTCATTTTCTGTCTCTCTCTGTCCCAAAAATAAATAAAAAAACGTTGAGAAAAAAATAAAAATAAAAATGAAGACCCATAAAACACTGAATCTATTTGGACATCTTTCCACAATTCATCACCTTAGGTGCCACTGAAGAACTCTGAAGAACCCCTGTAGCCAGAATCATGGGTGTCCCATTTCATAAATAAAAATTAAAACTCATTCCTTTAAATGTTAAACCCAATTTAAATAATGATGATACTTTTTTAATTGAGGAAATTTTTAAAAAGTTGTGAAAAGAGGATGAATCTGTTCAGAGTTTTCTGAAATGTGGGTCACCTAGTATTAATATACCATGATTGAATCCTCTATCTCTAATTCATAATTATAATTTCTTAAAACAACTTTTGCGAACGAGAAAATGTAACACTGTTATTGTACTGATTTAGGTCTACATACAACCATTTTTATCTAAATGGGTTTTATAACCCATTTTCTTGCCACATTAATACTTTGTCATTTTACAACCAGGGTTTTTCCAGTGGTCTTAATGGATGGACTTTATGAAAATCTGTGAACCCTTTGAAAATGCATACAAAATACTGTTGTGTATCTCTGTTTGCCACTAGAAGAGGGAGTCTCCAAGATTCTGATTTGTGTAGTCAAGCTACTTACTTTGAAAAGTCAAACAAGGGGCGCCTGGGTGGCGCAGTCGGTTAAGCGACCGACTTCAGCCAGGTCACGATCTCGCGGTCCGTGAGTTCGAGCCCCGCGTCGGGCTCTGGGCTGATGGCTCAGAGCCTGGAGCCTGTTTCCGATTCTGTGTCTCCCTCTCTCTCTGCCCCTCCCCCGTTCATGCTCTGTCTCTCTCTGTCCCAAAAATAAATAAACGTTGAAAAAAAAAATTA